AGAAATTCCTCATTTTTATCCAAAGTCATATTGAAGATAAATCCTCAATATGAGATTGTTCCCCATGGTCCTATGGAATTAGCCTTGATGCCAGACCCAAAGCACACTGAACACAAAATATCTCAGTGTGCAAGCCTTGCACACTGAGGTATTTTGTGTCCAGTGTGCTTTGGGTCTGGCATCCAGGCTATACATGTATGGAATCTGATCGATTTCAACTTTTTTCCACCTTTTTGTCCATTCAGGAAGCCATATTTCAATGCTCTTCCTCCAGACAGATGTCAGAGCCAGAGGCAGATTTGGATACAATCAATATAGATTTCAATTGGGGCCTAGGAAAATAAAATGTTGTGTTTCCTGTTTCCAACCAACCTCAGAAAAACCTGCAGCTGCCGACCCTAGACTTTTTTGGCGGGTGGACCCCTGCAAGGGACATCAATTTAATTTTTTTAACTGATCAACCTTTCCTAGCTCCATGATCTGACATGATCTGCAGAAAGTCGCACTGAACAAGGTTATTAACACGCAATTGTTACCTAATCAAACCGCGATCAGTCCGGGTTTAGGAAGAAGGTGTGAATTATGCCCCGCGCGCGAGCCCCTGTCCGGCATCTCACAGGATGTATCGTCACAGGTCATTTACGATACCGTTAGCGGGCCAGTCTGAATTCCAGCCGCGGCAGTAAAAGAGGCGAAAGTTCGACGTGTTTTCCGTGATACCAACTCTTGCCCGCCGCTTCCATTTATTAATGAATGAATCAATACGCCTCCCTCCCACAAAAAATACGAAGCATTACTCTCCCCCTTTTCTCCGAAGATAAAGTGCAAAATACAATCCTTGCGCTCTTCACAATTGAAACAAAACTATACTTGATGTCCACCAGTGATACGCTAACATATGTTAATAGATAATTCTTCTTTATTCATCGGCAAATTTAGCAATCTAACGTTACACAAATTATGCCATGTCGTGAAAATATCAGATGCATAACAGTGTATTTTTCTCCTCCTTGCAAACAGTAAATAATGAAGTACCTATCTGTCCACTATCCTGGCTTCGAGGCCGTTAAATGGACTATCCAGCACAGAGGAAATTCACTGGCAAATCGGAAAGGAAACTAACTTTGTGGAATAAAAACAACGTTTGCAAACTTTTAACCAGGAACAACAAAATGGCTAGAACGCACTGCATCCAAACACAACGGTAGGATAGAAATGATCGTCAGAAACACCAAAATATATGAATATATGTAAATGTAAAAAACAAACACTTCATTATGTGTTGAAAATCAAATTTATATTTATTTTGTTGATCTCGAACGTTTATTTGGTAATTCTGTACGTAATCATGTTAACACTGCTACGTTGTAGTGCTGTCGCTGTCAGCTGGCGGTATGCTAATAAGGCATGTGCGGTTGACTGCGCGGGCCTTGGCGCGGGCCCGAATTGCACTGCAGCGCGCTGGGCGGCATGGTAAAAGTATTACCGCTACCAGTTCACAGATTGCGGGAAATAGGGGCACGGGGAGGGACTTTGACACATTTCTCAAAGAACTACTCCTCCCCTTGTCCTCTGTGGCTGCGACTTTCGGCAGAGGTTGGTGGGGATCAGGACAAAAAAAACAGCCATATATAAAAAGGTAACGATCATTCCCCCACAACCTCTGCTTGGAGAGTAAATGATATCCTTGTTGACAAGGACTTGAATAACAAACTTCCTGTTGGACAGGTGAACATACAATGTACGGTTGTTGGCAACTTCCTTTTCTTGTTGACATTACAAAGAAAGTTAGAAACCCCTTTAATGTCACAACCTACATTGTACTCTCATTCGGACAGGTTAATATAGTACAACTATGTTAGCCTGGGTACCATCCGGATGTTTGCTCCGCAACGCTCAATGGATGGTTAGTATCCAGGCTACAACTATTTACAGTACTAGTATGGTACTTGAGGCCAGGATTCTGAGCAAACATTTTTTCTTAATTGACTCCTATCTAAGTGGCCCATGCATAGCAACCTTCCGTGTTTTCAAATTGACGTCAGTAGCAACAGATCCTCAACTTACTTGATGTGGTTTCATTTATGCAATGACCTCACACCACGAATGCAAATCAGAAGGCGCAAATATATTAAGTGTTTTTATACCGTAGAATTGTTTCTAATGCCAACTTCAAATGCGTGAAAACCTCATTTTCCCTCCTTCTGTGAAATAAATCCACTGCAGTTTCTGAATTTATGTACTATACAGACCGAGGGCAACATGGAATACATCGTGTTGTATTTTATTTAAAAATAATATGTCATACACACCCAAGAAAATGTGCTTTTCAATGCAAGATGAGCGGGAATAGGGCAAAATGCCCTCCAATCATTCTATGGAAGCCGAAGCCCTGGCCATACCATCAAGTATGGCCCGGTCTGGAACACCGTTATCAAACGTTGTCGTGGCCTGGGTATGATATAAAATGTTAGTATATGGTCTTATGATATTTATTGAAATCAATATCGATATCCCTCCCATGGAACAGACAATCAATGTCCTGTCATACCAGATTTGTATAATATGGTCACCTTCCTTGTTATCATCTTGAGAACCATTTTCATCCTTTCTTTTGCCAATATGAGGGCTACATACTCTCTGTTTTTCTAATGCTGAAGCTGAGGGCTACTCCCTGTTTTTTTTAATGCTGAATCTTTATTAATGCAATGCAATTTGCACAACAACATTTTTAAAGTCAACAACCAAGTATAAAATGAACACCACTCCTAAAGTCTTCCATTTGATAAAACAGCTTCCTAAAAATTAATTTGAAGTCATTATGGTAATTTCCATAGTCACTAATGATATTGCTGCAGTATATAGCTGGGTGAAGGTATGGGATCATTGACCTCTTGTTCTATAAACAAAGTAAAATATGAAATCTCTAGATCTGCAGGCTCTATTACAAGAGGTAGGCATATTAAAAGTTCCCAATCCGCCTCCAGATCAGCCCAAATTGTTCTGACTGAGGGTGTCCTTGAGATGTACTGATTGTGATCAGTTAACCTGTGTTCTGACCAGTCAATGAGCTTCTGGGAACACGTACAATGGCTTACTTCCTAGTATTTGCAGTTTCTTACAACTATTTGTTCTAGAGTCTAGACACATTGTGTTTTTGTGACATTATTGTTTTGTTCTGAATGACTTGGCAATCACGAAAAGTCTGAGTGTCAGCCAAAAGTCTTTGAGGCATGATCAATTAGGTGTTATTAAAGTCTGACGGGCGTGCGCTTTTTCCAAGAACACATGGCTGTTGAAGGATATAATGGTGCTCAACTTTATTCTCCTGTCCAGTCAAATTGTATTCTATTTCACTCTGTTTTCTATTCTGGTTATGTTTTACTTCAAAGTGGCTTACAGTGATTTTACTAAATACTGGTAGCTGGCACGGCCCAGTCACAGTCCTTATAATAGTTTATCAACACTTAGCTTCAAGCCATGTATTGTCTGCACAAGTCATAACATACAGGTACATGTATATATTGATAGATAACGTACAGTATAATCATTTAGTAATTTGGCACACTCAGATACATGTTGTGTCATAGTAAGCCTTGTAGTGAATTAAGGATAAATGTTTACATTAAGTACACCAGATACAGTGTAGGGTTACAGCAAATGGGCCAGGTTCATGACAAAATGGCTAATGGCCAAAAGTCTGAAATCCATCCATGCACAGATACGTTATCGTACTTGTTTTTGTGTGGTTGACAATTGGCATTGAGTTAAAGATTGGCAATAGTTCAACCATTACTTCCATGGTTAAACAATGATGTCACAAGGAAGGAAGTTTTTACACAGTGTCTGCTGGTGCCATTTCCTCTTCCGAGAAAAACTAGTTTATACAGGGGAGTGAACAAAGGACTGACCTTTGTCCTGTCCACACACCTCAGGTAATTGAACCTAACATCTGACGCTGTTGCGTGGGCTCCAGTACTGTGTACTATTGATCATGAGAGTCATGTTTATTGACAGCCAAAGTTAGGTGATACTGGCGTAAAATGTACAAAATGTACATGTTTTTACAAGACTAGAGCCTCGGCTTGAAACCTGGTACAGTACTTGGAGTTGGGCCCTATCAACAAAACTGGTATGGTCTCTGATTTTCTTACTGTATTGTTTATATGTAACAAGTCATAAAATTGAGAGTACATTTAAAAGGTTCATGTTAAGTTTTCACTGTTGATTACTTGGTATTCCTCACTTCAAATATTTTATGATGTGCTCTCTATCACATACTATATGAAAATTATGATAGTATATCACAAAAAACTGTCTCAGTGCATATGATAAAAACAAAATGTTATGATCTACTTTAATATGGTGTATTACAAAATGACATAATGTCTAGTAACAATAATTCCACTGAGGTTGCATATGCCTGTCCCCATAAAATTTTGATTCTAAAGCTTAAGAAATCTTTAATTCAATGTCCTCCACAATAAAGTTGCTTTGTGTACAAATGTATATCTAAACTCAGTGCATACTGGGGAGTGCAGCATGCTGCACCAAGAATCTCTTGAACATAATGTTTTTCAAAGTGAAGAGTAATCTAAGTTTTCAGCTCATACATGTAACGTTACATGTATTAGGATCTGAGCTTTTTATGATTATCACAGATTGACAGCAAATGATGACAGGTGAAAAAGTAAGCACTACCAGAAATGGAGCAGCCGTGCCTGCGACTGCAACCCCTGCTGTAAATGGCTCCACACAAAACTACAGGAGCACAGCAAATCTAATCGAGGCACCCTCATCCAAAGACACAGGCTCAAAGTATAGTGAGACGTTGAAAATCCTTCTGCCTTGGAGGCCTACTAAAAAGTAAGTTGTATATTTCAGTCTTCTTTTTTCTCATTCTACCAATAGCACATAATTTTACATTGAATAGATTTGATTGTTAGCACAGTACACCTCTAATATCTCAATAACTGTGTTCATCTTGAAGGGGGAGCAAGTTTCCCTTGGATGACTCTGGTTTGTTTGCCAACATCTATGTAAGATGGATGGACCCTCTGGTATGGAAGGCCACCAAGGGGAAAATCAAACCGTCTGACTTGTTTGAGCCATCTCCAAATGACAGCGCTCAAGCTCCAAGCAAAAAGGTGGGCTTCTACCAGGCTGTTAAATTTGATCATCCATTTCTTAATGTTGCACACATTGATTGTCAATATGTTATCATTTTTGTAAGATAATTATGATATTGTTCTGTTCTCAGATTACGTGATCTTTGGGAAGAAGAGGTGAAGAGAAAGGGTGTTGCAAATGCATCGTACTACAAAGTTGTGCTTCGGTCAATCCGTACCAGATGGATAGCTTCATCACTGATTCTGCTGCTGTCTCTCATGTGCTCCTTTACGTCTGCGGTAGGTTGAATTTCCTATAGAAAATATACAACAGTATTGTAATACTACTAGTTATATACAGGAGTCTGTAATTTATAAGATAATCATGTAGATCATATGACAGCAGTAACTGTGACTGTTTCTTACCTACCACATGTTTGTAACTTTAAATATATTATGATATATATTAACACACAGTTATAGTGTACCAACTATGATGTAGGGGATGGTCGTGTATGTTAAAACACCATTCTCTTGTGGTAAAATGTCTGTTTTTGATGAGTTTGCATTTCTTTTTTCTTTGAAATAGGCAGTGATTGTAAGGCAGCTGTTACAATACACTGAAACATCCAGTCCTGACTTTCGGATTGGCATTGCTCTTGTTCTTGGGATGCTCTTCACTGAGCTGATGAGGGTGTGTACAATCAACCTGGTCTACATTTTAAACTACCGCACTGGCATCAGGCTGATGGGAGGAACACTCACTCTGGTCTTTGAGAAGATCTTACACCTGCGCAGTTTAAAGGACAAATCTGTGGGAGAGGTATGAGAGATATTGCTTCAAACCCAAACTTGTTTAAAGTTCAAATGTCCTAATACTAAAAGTAATAGTAATTCAAGAAAAGAGAAAAGATATAGTCACTGTATGTGGTTGTTGAAACTTACACTTAATGTTACACATAACAACATACCTGATGTTGAATCATAAATCATTTTTTTGCAAATTAGACTATTTGTTCCTTTTTTCATGAAGCTGGTGAACCTACTGTCAAATGATGGTATGCGGCTTTTTGAGTTGACAACGTTTGGGATATTTGTGGTGAACACACCAATATTATTCATCCCTGGGACTGTGTACACCTGCTTCATCCTGGGTCCATGGGCGCTGGTTGGCGTTGCTACATTTATCCTTTTCCTGCCTGTACAGGTGAGCCCTCCTTCCTTGTGTTTTGTTAAAGTGTACAGAACCTAAAACCAATATCTAGCGTTGTATTACATGTGCCATAAAGATGGAAATGGCATAGTTTCGGGTATTTTTTCAGATGACCAAAACTTTTGACTTGAATCCTGACTAGATATTCCAACATTAATGATACAAATGAATCATAAATTTTACTATGAAGTTAAGTAAAACGTTTCTGGTGCTTTTCCATATACAGTCGCTGCTCGGGAAAATTGTGGCCAAGGTTCGTCGCAAGTGCATTGTCATCACCGATGAGCGTGTACGTATGATGAGCGAACTGCTGACCAGCATCAAACTCATCAAGATGTACGCTTGGGAGAAGCCTTTTACAAAGAAGATTAGTGGTGAGTTTTGTTAAACTAAACCCTTTTCATTGAGAGAAAATAGTTTTCACATGATTGAAGTAGAAAGTGCTTATTGTAGATGCCGTGGATTATATCCTCCTTTGCTATTTCATGATCACAGATGTGCGGAATAAAGAGAGGAAAAAGCTGGAGACTGCAGGCTTTGTTCAGGCTATGAGTATTGCCTTCAATCCAGCAGTCCCAGTCATTGCTGCTGTGCTGTCCTTTGTTGGCCATACCATGTCTGGGAACAACCTGACACCTGCACAGGTGATATTGATAAAAAAAGTCCTTAATATATGTACCACTTCAGTTTTCACTTCATTGTATTGTTTCAAACTCAAGGCATTGTATTTAATTTAATCACATCCATTTCACTCATGGAGCTTTATCATGTCAAAAATGAAATGTTTTAATCCAATGCACTTTGTTTTCTTTGTAGGCCTTTGCTGTTGTTTCAGTGTTCAATGCCCTGCGGTATGGACTGGCTCTCCTGCCCAACTCTGTACGTGCATGGGGAGAAAGTGGGGTAGCGGCTAAAAGGATTAAGGTAAATACAGCTAATAGTATTCAATAATTAGATTTCTTTTAAAGATTTCTTTGCCATATACTTGTAGTGAAATATTCATGATTATCGTGGTTGTAATTTTATCTATACCTTGCATTTGATAGATGATATTTCATACTATTTTGATAAAATGACAAAATTTGCAGCAGAATGAATGATCGAAAGAATGTTGATTAATTTCTCATCTGCTACTTTAGAGTCTTCTCATCATGGAAGAATTGCAGCCATACAGAGAGAAGCCTGCAGATCACAACAATTCAGTGGAGATCACAGCAGCTACGTTTGGCTGGGATGTCCTGGACATCAAAGGGGAGAAGAAACGAAAGGCTGAGGGGACTGAGAAGAAGGGGAAGGGCGGTCCACGTGTGCGGGGGAGGGGGGGACGCCCAGCAGGAAAACGGGCACAGAAGAACAAGGAGGGAGAGAAGGAGGGAGAGGAGGAGGAAAAGAAGAGAGTCCCTATATTATTTGATATAGAACTCACCATTCCCAAGGTGATAATTGTATTAATTTATAACTTGATTTTTATTAATCTCCAATTCTCCATCCTATTGTCCTTTTTATGGACAAGTTAGCTTGAGTATTAACTTTCTACAGTCATGTGCTTGATATGACTGGATTGTACATCAGATTTTATGCCAGAAGGTAACAGTTGATTTCACCTTTTACATTACATTGCAGGGTTCCTTAGTAGGTGTGTGCGGTAGTGTTGGTTCTGGGAAAAGTTCCTTGATTTCTGCAATTCTATCACAGGTTTGTTCATCTTCGATTTGTCTCTTTGAGTAATGGACATATGCGAACTCACAAATGGTGCCATTTCAACAAAGTTTGACCAGTTTTGTTCACATTCCTTTTGACCTATTTTGTAATGTCAATAAAATTATAACGTACCTTGGAATACTACTACCTGACTCAGATGCGGGTCATGGCAGGAGGTGTGGCTGTAGATGGCAGTTTTGCCTACGTAGCACAACAGGCTTGGATCCTAAACAAGTCAGTCCAGGACAACATCCTGTTTGGGCAGCCCTTTAACCAGGCGAGGTGAGATGCAGTGCCCTTGTGTTGGAATTCTCCAGTTGCTTGCTTAAAGATGTAATGTTACAGTCTAAGACACCATTGTATGTGTGTAAAGCACAGACTTGACTTTGAAATCTCTCAACAGATATGACAGGGTTGTTCATGCTTGTAGTCTCCAAGCAGACTTCAAACAACTTCCAGATGGTGACCAAACTGAGGTAATTCTTATTACATGTATTTACATCCTTAAACAATGCTTCCCATTTCCTATTTCTGTATTTTCCCATCAAGACTTAAAATAGTTAAATTGAATTAAGACATGCAGCATTATCCCATGAAAATTTCTGACATTTTTCTGGCGAAATGGTTTTCTGATAACTTATAATCCTGATCCTTATAATCCGTATGCTAATCCTGATTTTCTGGTAACTTAAGTGTTAATCAAAGGTACATGTGTATGATTACTGTTCCAACAACCATCATCACATGATTCCCAGATTGGTGAGCGTGGTGTGAACATCAGTGGAGGACAGAAGCAGCGTATCAGCCTGGCCCGAGCCCTGTACGCTGACAGGGATATCTACCTGCTGGACGACCCTCTGAGTGCCGTGGATGCACATGTGGGAAAACACATCTTCCAACATTACATCCAGACAGCACTCAAGGACAAGACAGTGCTGTTTGTGACACACCAATTGCAGGTACATTGTATTCTTTGTATCATTCATAAGGAGCTACTGACAGATGTACATGTAGGCATCTGACATCATAAGTGTAGCACGCCAATGACAGATCAATACTTTGAAAAATTTATTCTATAGAATATGTGAAAACTTCATTCAATTTTTCTTGTCTAGGATTGTTCCAAATTTAAACTACGGTAAAAAGGCAGTTTATATTGGTGTACCAAACTATTAATACTGCTCCTATAATTGTACCTTCAGTATCTCAAGGACTGCAACGAAATTCTTGTTTTGAACCATGGACGTATCACTGAGAAGGGGGTGCATAGTGAGCTGATGAGTGCTGGACAAGAGTATGCCAGCCTCATCCATAGGTAAGATTATCAAGCATTTGTTGATACCATCTTGTGATAAATGGTGACCACTATGGGCTATGAGTGTCAACATAGGAATGGATTCATAGGGCTGTGCATTCAAGTTTTTAAGGACCCCGGGCAGCTATGGATGCAGGTGTTATTTGAGTGAAGATACATTTTATTTATCACATGCATCCAGGTTCATCAGATGATTGTTTGGTTTTAAAACATAAGTTTCAATTTATGCAGCTTCCATGAGGATGGAGAAGAAGAGGAAGAAAGTGGAACGGTCGTCAATCAAGAGGATGTTGAAGTAATGACAGAAAGGTTAGACAAAAGAAGGTCATAAAGATTTATGAACACATGCACCTTTCTCTCATAAGCTATTCATAAATCAATCATCAACCTACTAGTACAATTAATGTTTAAAGTAATCTACTAGCTTTTTGATAGATTTTTACAAAAATATTCTACTACTAACAGTAAATCAACTATGATTGACAGATAACATCTTAAGGTTTAATTTCCTTGAGCTTGCTGTTTAGCAGGTGAAATTATTGTAAGTCTATAATTTCCTTTGTTTCAGTCCCTTGCAGAGAGATGAGTCGGTGCAAGGGTCACTCAAGAGGAAAGACTCCAAACGTGCTTCTAAGAGGTAAGACTCTATCCACAAAATATAGAAATCCTAATAGTGGGTGTGTCTAATAGATGGCATTATACATTATGTACATGACTTTGGAACAAGGATGATTTATCATAAGTATGGGGACATATAATATATGACCTAATTTAAAGAATTCAATAGTAAAAACATACATGTAATTCTAGTATGATCATCATCATCAGTCAGCAAACTTCCACTTGTTGGGGTTTTGCTTTCAAATTGATTAATGACTTTTAATTGTGTAACTGTCCTCCTTTACCAGGTCTCTGAGACGAGAAGAATCCACACGTGGTTCCACGAGACTGAGGCGTTCCTACAGCATTCGCTCCACACATAGTGCGACCAGTGAGACAGCTGGACATATTGAGGAGCCTCCTGAGATAGAAGATCTGGATGTGGATCCACAGGATGGGAAGAACCAGGATTCAGACACACCAAAGAAAGAAGGAGATGGTCCTAAAGGTGAGTTGAATAATGCTTTTGTGTAATGATCTTGCCGCACATTGTACATGACAGTATGTTATACATGTAGATGCTGTAATTTGAGTATTAAAATGAAAAATAAATGCATACTTCACTTACTTGAATGGTTATCATCCACATAATGTGAACTTGATAGGTCATCTCTAGTTTCAGAACAAAATGTTTTAAGATCTGCTGACTATGATTGCAGAATAATCTTCCAGTCAGTTTTATGTTTCTTTTTTCTTTTCAGCACTTGTGACTGAAGAAGAGAAATTCAGGGGTTCTGTGACCTTAAGGACCTACTGGTCATATATGAAGGCAGGTGGAGGTAAGACAAGCTGCTGCAATCTTGATAAAAAAAAATAAAAGTTTCATGGTTTATTTGACATGATTCAGTGAACATTAAACAATACACGTTTACTTGCAAATGTCATTTGATCCATGTGCCTGATCAGTTTAACATTGTTGATCTAACTGTTACATGTACAAGACATATTTTTTGCATGAGCAGTAGTTGACATTATTTTGCATCTGCAGGTTTGATTGTTTGTTCCTTCACTCTGTTGCTGTTTATCCTGAACACTGGGTCCATGGTCTTCAGCAACTGGTGGCTGACATTGTGGCTTAATCAAGGAAGTGGTGTAAGTACATGACATTGTGTAGTGTACACCCATTTGTAGTAAGTTAAAGGTCATAATATACTATAGATTTATTGTGTGTTCACATCAAAATTATGTCATGACTAATACTATCAGACTGAGTTTTGTAAGTCAGACTATTTAAAGTACTAAAAAACATTTATAGTAGCACATTATGGGCACTTTAAAACCTTAAAAGCAAAGCTCATAAAGATGGTCATCTTAAATGTGTCCACTGCAGAAGGTTAAAATTCTAAAATGTCAAGTTGTCTATTTGCCCTCTTAATAGTTATTTAACATCGATGTTTTCCACAGGTGCCATACAATGAATCTGATCCCAGCACCCTTAACATTACTGAGAACCCCAAGCTTAACTTCTACATTCTCATCTATGGCATGTGTCTCGTAGCTGTCCTTGTGTTGGCATTCATCAAGGGATTCTGCTATGTGAAGGTAAGACCTTGTAAGGGCTATCAGGCATCCCTGGACAGAAATAGTTTTCTGAACCTATCATGTGGATTTGTTAAAGAAATTTGCATTTATGTCATCATTTAAGATAAGGCAAACTTCCTATGATAATGTTTTTGTGATTTCTAACCTTAAGTGCAATAAGTGTCATGTATAATAATTATAGTTACAGTGTAATAACCAGGGACTAGGACAGTTGTTAATGGCCTGCATGTGTACATGATTGTATGAAATATCTCAACAATGAAAAAGTGCATCCCTTTTATTTGTAGGTCACTCTTGGTGCCTCATCAAGATTGCACAAGTCTGTGTTTGCATCGGTAAGTCTTCTAAGTCTTTCAATTGGTATGTGTCTGTGAGTGTTTGTTTACAATTATCATTTGCTGAGAGGTTGTGTACCAAATATAGCCACAGAATGCAACAAAAAGGATGATTGATTTTTATGTAATTTCATAATTTGCCATCCACTAAACCATGAATTCTAACTGAGTGCCACAGTTTGTTGACAGTCAATTATGGGACCACAGGCTATATACCTACTCTGTAAATGTCGCGTGTTTTAGATCCTCCGTTGTCCAATGAAGTTCTTTGATGTTACCCCAACCGGGAGGATACTTAATCGCTTCTCAAGAGACCTTGATGAAGGTAAGCATTCAATGTTTTTTTGTGTGTGTGTTATTTTCTTCAATTAAAACTTGGTCATGTAAATTCACATCTCCATCATTACTGCATGTCAATGTAGAACATTAAGGAGACCACCTTTGTTCTCCATACTGTTTAATTTCTCGCACTCCCAGTCCCATGTGAATTAATGCTCACTGACAATCTTTAGTAATTCAAAGATTTTATGATGCTAAGTGCAAAACCTTTCTGTTCTCCACAGTTGATGTCCGCCTGCCTCTCAACATGCAGGTGTACCTGGAAACTCTCTTCATTGTTGTTGCCTCCATTCTGAACATATGTGTGGTGTTCCCCTGGTTTGTCTTGGCACTGGTGCCTCTAGGCATCTTGTTTTTCCTGGCCAACTACTTCTTCAGACATGTTATCAGGGAGCTGAAAAGGTGAGTCTGCAGATTGTTATTAAATGTATTATTGTCATGATACATTACAATGTAATACATGTACTGCTAGTAAGCAAAATTTGCACTATACAACAGAAGATTGACCTTTTTTGGATACCTTGCTAGTATGCATACTAGCTATGCAAGAGGAACTAATCATTTCAATGCAACATCTAATATTTTCAAATGTTCAAATAATTAGATTCAAAGCTATTTTAATTACTTTTGACAATCACTGTTTGTTTAAAATGCATATAATTGCTACTTGATTTCTGAGAAGTAGTATTACAGAATGGATGAGACTGTAGACTGGATTAAACATTAAACTGATTTTCCCTACTACAGGTTTGACAACATCATGAGGTCTCCATGGTTCTCCCACGTGACTGCCTCTATCCAGGGTCTACACACCATCCATGCCTACCAGCAGGAGAAGGAGTTTCTGGACACCTTTGTCACACTCCTGGACAAGAATAATGCTGCTATGTTGATGTACAACATGGGCACGAGGTGGCTGGCTGTCCGCCTGGACTCCATGGCTCTTGTCATCAACACAATGGCTGCCGTCATGGTAGTTGTGTTCCATGGACAAATCCCTGCATCCTTAGCAGGACTGGCCTTGTCATATGCCATTCAGGTGAGTAGCCATTATCATCTGTCAAAATCTAGATATATAAACAACAGTAATTTTCAATGGTAAATACGCACACGTTCAATACAGTGTTAGTAATTGTCTCTGTTTTATGGCCTTTCAGACATCTGGGCTCCTACAGCTGATGGTGCGGACTGCTACTGAAACAGAAGCAAGGTTCACATCAGTTGAGAGAATAACTCATTATAGCAATGTAGGTGGATTCTTTTCTGTTCAAACAAGTTTTTTCTGTGTGAACAATGACATTGCAATAGTGGGCATCAGAATATTAGCTTAAGGGTTGATGAGCACACGTTGCAAGGGGCTTTCACAGCAGATTGCATTGTGTACATGTAAGACTTAACTTTTAAAAGATTATCAGATGAAATGTTAAGTGATTAATATTTTTTATTGTTGGCCTGTTTATTTCTGATAGAATCTTGAGGAGGAAGCACCAGAAAGGATAAAAGGTGCAGATCCTGCAGAAGGATGGCCAAGGGAAGGCCAGGTGCAGTTTGATCACTACAAGATGCAGTACAGGGACAACCTGCCCTTGGTGCTGAAAGGAATCCACTGTGATATCCATTCCAACGAGTCCATCGGGATTGTTGGCAGGACAGGATCAGGTAAAACTTCAAGTTAACTGTCTTGTGCCAGCCTTCTAGAAGTCTGTACAGGTTCCAAATCAGGTTGCCTTGTTTCTGCTTTTTTGATTAATTTCATTAGTTTTATCCAATATGAACACAGTTTTGAAACAGTCGCCAGGTATCTCCTAAAATGGCAAGAGCTCAATGTTTTCTTGTGGTAAGAAAGAATTCTTGTATCTTGTGCAGGGAAGTCATCCCTTGGTGTAGCCCTGTTTCGTTTAGTTGAACCAGCCGATGGAGTCATTTCCATTGACGGGGTGGACATCAGCAAGATTGGACTTCAGTCCCTCCGCAGTAAACTGTCCATCATTCCTCAGGACCCCGTTCTATTTGTTGGCACAGTTAGGTACGGAAATTTTACTTCCATATTTGAATCATATTCAGATTTTCCTAGACCATTTAAGATGAATTTTTACTACATCCATCTGAAAAAGGGACTGTTATCTTGCCCTAAGTTTGATATTGGAAACTTCTGCATTGATATAAGCGTGAAGTGAATATGCAGTAAATGCTTATTTATGATTTCCTTTGTCCTTAAAACAGGTATAACTTGGACCCTTTCAATCAGTACTCAGATAACCAGTTGTGGCAGGCTCTGGAAAGGTCCTACATGAAAGACAGGGTATGTTGTGCACTATTACATCTAGTAATATTAATCTGTAATATCAATTATTATAAAGGCTCTTACTCTAATGAAGCATTGATGTTCAGACAAAATTTCCAGTAGCGGGATTAATGTTCTCTTCCTACATGTATATATAGGTCAGGCTTGATTGGCACAGTCAAGCAGGTGTTAATCTCTAGATGCAGACTCTACAGACCATGATAATTGTAGGACACAGATAGTTCTAGAGTTCCTTAATGAGTATTTCTTTTCTTTCCTGTAGATCTCAGCTCTTGAGAAACAACTTGAAGCTCCAGTGATTGAGAACGGTGAAAACTTCTCTGTGGGAGAAAGACAGCTCATCTGCATGGCTCGAGCCCTGCTGAGGAACAGTAAGGTGGGTTTGCTAATTATTAAAGCCACAATTTCCTTTATCTGACTTGACACATGGCCTTGTTATGAATATTTATCAAACCACTATCATTTCCCTCTTGTTAATTATGCACACAAGTTATAATGCACCTTCACCATTTAAACATGTTAACAACTCATGTTGTCAAACCCGCCCCTTCCTCCCAAACACAGATTATATTGCTGGATGAAGCTACTGCTGCCATTGACTCAGAGACGGACAGTCTTATCCAGAAAACCATCCACGAAGCCTTCACAGACTGTACCATGATGACCATAGCACATCGCCTGAACACAGTCCTCAACTGTGATCGGATCATGGTCATGGATGATGGACTGGTATGTACAATGTATGCTGACCCAATCACTATAGTCATTGAGATATAACGTCTTTAGCACTTTGGTCAAGAAAAGATACACTTAATTGACAATTAATTAGAACAACTTGATTTACAGAAAATGTTTAGTAACATACCATTCTAATTTAGCTTTGTGGAACATGTTCACCAATGTACACTCAGTAGTTTCAAAATGCAAACACAAAAGTCTATTTTCTTCCACAATAATTTAAATCTATCAGATTCTCTACTTTTGCATTTTGCACATTTGCATGATAGCCCGGCCAAGATGGAAAATAATATGTTAAACTGCAATATGTACAAATGTATATATATATAACATATATGCTCTTTTTTCTGTATCATAGTTGGTGGAGTTTGACACCCCAGCTGCATTAATGTCCAAGCCAGACTCCCACTTCAGGGCCATGCTGACAGCCTCTGGTACTGATGTCAGTAAATATCTGACAGGGAGCGCCCCAGCATCTGCCTCTCAGGAGGGAGAGGAGGAAGAAGAATATGATACTAAACTGTAGACAGTTTCACGTAGATAAAACTTTAATGCAGTCAAAGCCATGCGGTCAAAGCCATTCTGTGAATGGATTTTATTGCCTTCAAGCAAGATTTACATTTCAGCATCAATTAGATTATAATGTTTTGATAGCACAAAAGTAGACAATAGGCATTATTTTAATTATTTTGCTCTTAGTTGCAATAGAAACTATAATATAGTAGCTTAATACTATGGTCTTTTGACTTGGATCTGACAAAATATAAAGAAAATGCAATAATATGACAATGATACATTTTTGTTCACTGATAATTGTAGCTGTTTTATTGATCTTGATCGATAGTAGACTTAGAGATTCAATTCGAGTAACATAAAATGATTGTAACACTGAAGACAGCCTTCTATATGTAAGTTAGTTGTGTGACCTGAAAGATTGGCCACAATGACTTTTCTTTTACTCATAAACACCCGTCTGTTTGCTATAGTTCTTTTTCTTTGTTTTTGTTTAAATAGAACCTATATATTGTACTTGAAATCGTGAGCCAGATGTCATTGTTATATAATTATGAATAGAAGTAACAAATTTACTTAGAATAAACCCTAGCCCTTACATTGAATGCGTATATATTATATATATTCATATATATATATACATGTCACAACATCAACTGCATAATTTATACAAAGCAAAATGACCGTCTAGAATAATTATGCAATAGGTAAATCAAAATACATAGATAAAGTAGAACATTAGAGTTGACCTAACCACAAAAGTTACACACATAGTACCCAAATATACAAACTCCACATCCACTGTTCAGTGTGCAGCAAACCACAAAATAAAATAAGGAAACACGTTTTGACATTGATCATACATACTGTATAGTAAAGGCCTAGTCTGATTGCCCCAACACATTTCTTTGGATGGAAATAAAGAAAGGTGATGATGTTAAATTGTGGTGGCCTTTTTAGTTGTACATTTATGTTATTTTAGCCATTTCTCCCCTTCTCCATGGCAAAAACTGGGTTTGCATTAGCCATGCCATAGCTACCATCTGTCATAGTGAGGTTGTTTCTACTTCTCTTCACATACCTAACCACACAGGCTATGACAGCGGCGGTTAGAAGCACAGCTACAGGGATTCCCACAGCTAAGGGGATGATGTGGTCAGGTTTGCCCTCGAAGTCGAAATCAGGCTCTGAAACAGACATCCATAAAGGTCAATTTCGGTACTTCATAACTTTGAAAAGGCTTGAATTCAAACAGTTGGTGTCTATTCGCAATAAGGATTGGTTAAAGCTGAAAGTAGAGATTGACTTGAAGAGATGAAGCGTGTGCAACGTTTCTGTGTAGAAATCATTAAACAAAACGGCTAACATACATGTACATGTCAGTACATCATGTCTGACTCAGTTCACCATGTATCTGTATAGCCGGTAAAACCACCCTTTGGCGTAACACACCAGCTTCGCAGGCACGCGGCGCGGCGGCTACATTACACCGAATGACTTGTTACACCTAACCCTCGAACATGTAACTCTAAACTTGTTTAAAACTATCTAATGATAATGCCCGTACTGTACTTGATAACTTGAATGCGTCCGCCAGCCCCATTATGCTTATAATTACCTGTTGTGAGAAGTGACCAGTGGAAGATGTCGCTGTGGTTGGACATGGCTGCTGTGGCTCGTGGGTTGAGTTGATAACTTGAATACGTCCTTCCAGCCCGGCAGACACAGGCGAGGTGGCCGTGATGTACTCAATCAGGATGTCCGTGTCAAGGTCACCTGTAGTTAAAACAGATATTTACTGACTGTCCATCATCATTAGCAGTTCAACCAATGATAGCATAGTCATTGGCGGTTCCACCAATGCAATGCCGGAGAGAATGGCTGCATGCCCGTGTGAGGTACTTGTATTTTGACGGAGCTCCTCAATGCTTTAGGATCAGTCTATTTCTTATTCCTAACAAGAGATAGTTGCATACCTGGTATATAGTGAGCTGTCTTGTTCTCGGCTATCATGTTGTATCCGTCCCCGCCGTTTGCCAAGAACGTCGGCATGATGATCTTGTAGCTGGCGGCGGGGTCGAGCGGGCGGAACTCTGGGATGAGGCAGCCTGTGCTGCAGCGTGCGTCTACTTTCACCACTCTCTCACCGGGTGCCTTGTTACTGTCGTACACGACGCGAAGACCTGAGCGTAGAATAAACACTGTTGTGTTTCTTCGTAACATGGCATGGATTTCGCTATTCCAAAGACTTGACTAAATCCCCCTCTTGCTACAGCCTAGGTCATGCACATGCTCAGCGGTAAAGAAATGTTGAGATGAGAATATTCTGTAGTCATTTCTATTGATAAACATTTCCAATAGAAGTCTATACGTACCAGAAACTTGCAGGAACCTTGGGTGACCGATGAGGCTTGCTGAGTGCTCCAGCATGCGGAACACATCCTCCCCGCGTAACTCCACGATGTCTATGGTGTTCATGAAGGGGATGCATCCGACAATGTCTCCCACAGTGATAGAACCTACAAAACGATTAACCAAGTTCACAACTATGATAAGGAAAAACTGGAGATCGTAAATTCATGTACTTACTACATAAATTCTTAATTATATGTCACATGTTCAAGATGCATGTAAATATCATGCAATGTTGACTTTTATAAAGTGCACGAATTTTAAAAAGTGCACGAAATACTTGTACCAAGGATAATGAAGGAAATGAATGGTAGTTAGAATAAGTTGCCATTGTGGCTCAGTCAGCATAGGCCTCATTCAATACGCTAACAACTAGAGACTTTGGAATGTTTGCCTTACACCGTGGTCTTGTCACGCGCGGTCAAGCTAAGTCAACTGAACTTTATCATTGGTTCTGTCAATTGATTAGCTACCTTACTTCGTTCATGGGCTAATTCAACAACATTCTTCAAGCATAAAATTTCCTCCGGAGGAATTTCTAACTAGCTAATATTGACTCTAACACAAGGAACCACATACCACGATTTGTTTGTGTCGTACACAATTTACCAAGCTGTTGTCATGGTCAATATTTTGCCTAGTTCTTCCATATAGCCAATATACGTGTTTGTATAACATGGAAAATATACATGGAAAATAATATAAATGAGAATTCACTGTACTGGTTCTTTAGTTTACGTTCAGATTTATTCCTAACTACCCAATACTAAGCTGTGCTTTCAGTTACGTCCTGATTAACAAAGTTTTAAGGCTGGATACATAGAGGTGACACATTTCTGCCTACCTTGGTCTATGACGGATCTGATGCCGCCTGAGTTCAGGACGGCAATGGCGACATCGTTCCAGCTGGTTTCGTCTGGATGTTTGATGTTGTGGTGAACCATGGAGTCTGTGATCAGGTTACCTGGTGATAAAGCATGTGTAAGTAATCAGTGTCAATAAAATTAAGTGGGAAAATGATACCATATAATGCCATAAACTTCCACTCCAGTACGACGCGACGCATATGGTTCCCTTCGCCTCTGAGGCACCCAATTATATACTATGTATGTGAATATACTATGTATGTGTACAGCTTCATTGAAAAACAAGCTGCGAACCTATGTTGCACTCCCCAAAATCACATTCACCGCCAAGGACCACTTGTGTTGTCCCCACCGACTGCTCCGTCTTGTTGGCGAGTTGTGCCGCCAGCCTGGCCACTTCGGTGGAGATGTTGGCATCTGTTGAAGCGAAAACACGTGTTGGAAAGTTATATGCAATATGGCATGGATGGACATTACAATAGAATTTTTCGCAATAATTTTTTGAGCCGGAACGTTGTGCGCTCGCACGTAGTGTAAAATGTGTCCAGCACCCAGGCTTCATTACTGATCAGGCTTCAAAGATATCACTGTGCATTGTAATGATTTGTATGTTCAAAAGTAAATGTTTTCAAAGCTTTTCAAATCCCTTAGAAGGCTTAATACTATCATATGCACCATGTGCTAAATCGTGCCTGGAAGGAACAGTCCGCTCGCCTTTAATCTATGATTTCTAGTTAACATAAAGTAGTTTTTTTACCTTTCGGGACTGTGTCGTCCAAAAGAATGGGGTTCCCGTCCCACTGCCTAACTTTACCGTCGTCATCAAAGGTCACCCTGAGATGTCCCAGGTACTTCCCGAAGGCGTACGCCTGCACCACTAGTACGGGGCTGGAGGGGTCGTGGTCCGGGTACACAGCGATAGGGTACACGTCATAAGGCTCTTCTGTCGATGGAGGTGGACCTACAACAGATAGCAAGCGGATTATCTTATAAATGCCATTCCGTAAACGTTACAAAATTGGTTTATAGGGACTATGATACTTTCACAGTACCTGTGTATAGGAATGTGTTGGTGTGTCCTCCAACCACGATGTCGACTCCACGCACACGCGAGGCCACTTCCTGGTCCACGAATATTCCTGTACATGAAAGCCAAACAAAGATGTGTTTCAATGTCCTTTACTTTAAAAAATGCTAACAATGCCTTTACATATGAAGTTACAATTCTAGAATTTTAAGTACGGGCCAGTACTACATGCACATTCCCTGTTCTGTATACCGCCATCTTAGCAATGCAAGTCTCATATTTAGCGCTGAACTGTCTACCACGTAGCGATGGCCTGTAAATGTAGACAGCCTCAGTACCGAAGTACACTGTATCTCGTACCTGCATGCCCTAAGGCAATAATTTTGTTGATTCCCTGGTCCAGTAGTTTGTCTACCTCAGCCTGCACCGACTCCACAAGCGCGGTAAACACCACATTATCTCCTGTAAGCAAGGACAGTATGTGTTTGAGATTAAATCTCAGAAACGGACGTTTGCTAGCCAATTGTCAATTTTACGGATTTATTTTGCAATTATCTCACTTTTGCTGATGACTGGACTTGATAGCGATAACTAACCTGGGTCGGAGATAAAGGGTGTATCTGTAGTCGTGTAGCCAACAATGCCGAGATATTCTCCGCTCACGTTCAGGACGACTGAAGGGCTATATGCAACAGGAATAAGAGATTTACTTTCATGATCCACGGAGGCATACAAAAAGTTGGAATGTTATGTATGAAAATGATCTGCTGGGGTTGTCATGTTATAAGCATTATTGATCTTAATGCTTATCTTTGATGACTCGTAGGTTTAAGTTGTATCTTCCGGTAAGGTTTCTATATCGGTAGTACAAATATTATCTGATATGCGCGCAATCGATGAAATCCTTGTCTTGGAACTTGGAAGAATGAATACTGTTTTCATGAATAAAATGATTAAGGGATTATAAGATAAGATGTTTAACCTGAAGAGAGATCGAAGCTCTGGTTCCCTGCTGGCGTTTATGTTGGCGCTCACTACAGGAAAGTTCACCTCTCTGAGAAAAGCGCCCAGTTCTCCCACTCCGTCGTCAAACTCGTGGTTGCCGATAGTCTGAAGTATTAGATAACGGGTCACTTTATACGAACGAAGAGACTCAGTCAGTGATACTGACATTCCCACTGAGTGTGTATGGAAAGTTCGCAGTCTAGCATTATGTAAACACTGAGGTGGGTGGCTACACTTTGTTATTACCAGCTGTTACAAAACGTTGTTTCGAAGTTGAAGTTCTCGGCGCCAGATTGAGTGTCAGGAAACTTAGAAAATGGTTGGGTAAAATCCAAGGCTTATAGATATGTACTTTGCGAAGGTCTGATACTTAGAAACCTCTATAGCTACACTTGTCCAGAAATAGTATTAAAAAAAAACTTACCATGGCATCGTACCGCAGAGCGTTCATAAAATGTGCCAAGACGGAGCTCTTAAAGAAGTAGTACCATAGCGTCCCCTGAAACCAGTCGCCGGCATCAAGCAAAAGCACGTTATCGTCAACACTTCGGACTTCTCGAACTTTGCTGTCCAGGCGGGCGACTCCTCCGAAACAAGGTCGGCCCGGCCGGCACCTGCCGCCGAACGCATTGGTCTCCTCGATACGGGAGTGGACATCGTTCGTGTGCAGGATAGACAGGTTGAACGAAAGAACAAGGTTGCCTGCTAAAAGGAAAGGCAGGAGAACGAAAGAACGCCACATCGTTTTATCTGGAAACCGCAACAAAATATGGCAAGCCGCAAAGCAACGTTTGCTTAAACAAAGTGTGCGTGTGTGTGTGTGTGTGTGTGCATACTGTAGGTAAAATAATGAGTTGAGAAGTTTCCGTTGCATCACGGGAGGAAGTAGACTGAGAAAAACCTTTATTTGCAAAGTGCTGGGTAATTCCGATGCCACATATAGCTAGCTATAGTCATTACGTGCGGATGAGATAAAAGTCGTGATGAAACCTTTCAAATGCCCCCTGACTATATTTGGTCAGGTAAAACGGTTGTCAGGAAACGATGTACAAGTAAACCTTCTAAACAGCTAGCGTCATCATGAGACAAGAATACTCACCCCCCCGTCAGGCAGTAATGCGTCACGTCTAGCAAAAGAACTCGGCCTGCTACCTCCCTGTTTTACATTCTCTCCTGACAAGGAGGTTGACGAAATACATGACATGTGTACACAAGAAACGTGATAGCCTGGTTTTGGTCCCCTCGGGGGCGGCAACTTTCGGGTGGGCAGGAGCGCAATACGAGATTATGTCCGTAAATAATCTGTTAACCGTGTCCATTCATCTTGTTTTGTTGTGACCTGTACTTAGCCAAGTGTGGCAGAAATGTGTAATAAAGGTCTTCATTCATTCAATAAAAGTACGTTTCCTATTTAATAGTCAACATTGCATTTTTCGGTACCATCCAGTTCCAACTCACATCTCAAAGTAGACGCGTGGCTATGGCAGACTGAGTGTTTTGTAGTATTTTCGTCTTCAAATGGTTAGGGCGTTTTTGACTTAACCACACATAATCTTTGCAAGAAGATGTACAAGTTTGAAGAAGCCGAAACCTGATAGGTGTTTAAAGCTTGTGGAACAAATTTCCACAGACCCAGGCATACACTAGCCTCTACCAGGCGTGAGGAAGCGACTGAAAAGAGTAGAAATTCGGCACATGTTCCATGTAAGACATCACGAATTTAGCGCGGCGCGCATCCAGGCAAGCGGGGTTCCTCGCGCCCACTTCCCGATCGTATTCGCCATGCCTGCCCGGTGGCACTGCGCCCAGTGCGTACCAGTGCGCCCAGTGCGTACGAGTGCGTACCAGTGCGCCCATTGCGTACGAGTGCGCCCAGTGCGTACCAGTGGCATAGAATGTGAAATATCACAAGAACACCCGTCACCCAAATCACGAAATCGCCAGGACACGTAACCAAACTTTCGGAGCGTAGCGGTGTAAGCCATCACGAAACCGCCGGCGAATGCACTTGGGTACACGGCGCCAGCGTTGACACAACCCGACACGACAGCGTCCGTGCGTGCGGCAGACACTGTGCGACGCATCACGACCGGCAACGCATCACGAAGTTTGCGGGACACGCCAGACTTGCAATCCGAGTGATGCTGCGCCGGATTTCGATAGACGTTCGTGACTGCTGTCACGAAATCGCCGGCAAACGCATCACGAATTTGCGGGACACGCCAGACTTGAAAACCGAGTGATGCTGCGCCGGAGTTCGATAGGCATTCGTGACTGCTGTCACGAAATCGACGGCGCACCTCACGGGTACACTGTTTCGGTACACGGCGCCAGCGTGTACAAATCCCGATACAAAGGCGTCCGAGCATGCGGTAGCACGACATTCGACGCATCATGGCCGGCAACGCATCACGATTCTGCGGAACAGGCACGGCCTGTCGACCGAGCGACGTATGCTTCACATTGACACGAAGAAAAGAGTTTGGGCTGCTGTAGTGAAGTCACTGTAGTCAGTGTAGTGAAGAACACCGCGAGGTCACAGAAATGGGAAGCCTGATTTTGTAGTGGTAGTACCTGTAGCATCTGTAGTCAGGACTGTTAGAAGCATGAAGAAAAGAGTTTGGGCTGCTGTAGTGAAGTCACTGTAGTCAGTGTAGTGAAGAATACCGAGAGGTCACAGAAATGGGAAGCCCGATTTTGTAGTGGTAGTACCTGTAGTATCTGTAGTCAGGATGATAGTGTAGTCAGTGTAGTGAAGAATACCGAGAGGTCACAGAAATGGGAAGCCCGATTTTGTAGGGGTAGTACCTGTAGTATCTGTAGTCAGGATGATGAAGAAAAGAGTTTGGGCTGATGTAGTGAAGTCACTGTAGTCAGTGTAGTGAAGAATACCGTGAGAGGTGACAGATATGGGAAGCCCGATTTTGTAGTGGTAGTACCTGTAGTATCTGTAGTCAGGACTGTTAGAAGCAGGAAGAAAAGAGTGTGGGCTGCTGTAGTGAAGTCACTGTAGTCAGTATAGTGAAGAATACCGAGAGGTGACAGATATGGGAAGCCCGATTTTGTAGTGGTAGTACCTGTAGTATCTGTAGTCAGGATGATGAAGAAAAGTTTGGACTGCTGTAGTGTAGTCAGTGTAGTGAAGAATACCGAGAGGTCACAGAAATGGGAAGCCCGATTTTGTAGTGGTAGTACCTGTAGTATCTGTAGTCAGGATGATGTAGAAAAGAGTTTGGGCTGCTGTAGTGAAGTCACTGTAGTCAGTGTAGTGAAGAATACCGAGAGGTCACAGAAATGGGAAGCCCGATTTTGTAGTTGTAGTACCTGTAGTATCTGTAGTCAGGACCGTTAGAAGCATGAAGAAAAGACTTTGGGCTGCTGCAGTTAAGTCACTGTAGTCAGTGTAGTGAAGAATACCGAGAGGTGACAAATGGGAAGCCCGATTTTGTAGTGGTAGTACCTGTAGTATCTGTAGTCAGGATAATGAAGAAAAGAGTTTGGGCTGCAGCAGTGAAGTCACTGTAGTCAGTGTAGTGAAGATTACCGAGAGGTGACAGATATGGGAAGCCCGATTTTGTAGTGGTAGTACCTGTAGTATCTGTAGTCAGGACTGTTAGAAGCACGAAGAAAAGAGTTTGGTCTGCTGTAGTGAAGTCACTGTAGTCAGTGTAGTGAAGAATACCGAGAGGTGACAAATGGGAAGACCGATTTTGTAGTGGTAGTACCTGTAGTATCTGAAGTAAGAAGATGAAGAAAAGAGTTTGGGCTGCTGTAGTGAAGTCAGTGTAGTCAGTGTAGTGAAGAATACCGCGAGAGGTGACAGATATGGTAAGCCCGTTTTTGTAGTGGTAGTATCTGTAGTATCTGTAGTCAGGACTGTTAGAAACATGAAGAAAAGAGTGTGGGCTGCTGTAGTGAAGTCAGTGTAGTGAAGAATACCGAGAGGTGACAGATATGGGAAGCCCGTTTTTGTAGTGGTAGTACCTGTAGTATCTGTAGTCAGGATGATGAAGAAAAGTTTGGGCTGCTGTAGTGAAGTCACTGTAGTCAGGGTAGTGAAGAATACCGAGAGGTGACAAATGGGAAGCCCAGTTTTGTAGTGGTAGTACCTGTAACCTGAGCCAAAAAAAAGCTGTTTTCGGCGTCAAATATGCTTATGCTGTAACATCACCAATTCGCATACATGATGTCGGTGGGTCATTGCGCACCTGATGAAATTGTTTTGGAGATAATCGCTTCTCATTTAGCGATTTCTCATTTCTGAGCCAAAAAAGCTTTTTCGGTGTCAAATATGCAAATTATGTTGTAACATCACCAATTCGCATACATGATTTCGGTGGGTCATTGCGCACCGGATGAAATTGTTATGGAGAAAATCGCTTCTCATTTAGCGATTTCTCATTTCTGAGCCAAAAAAAGCCGTTTCGGTATCAAATATGCAAATTATGCTGTACCATAGCCAATTCGCATACATGATGTCGGTGG